ATCTACACCCAGTGAACGACTCTTTAGTGATGCCGGGAATCTTATGACTGCAAAACGTACTTGTTTAAATGCAGATTAATTCTACTAATTATTCAAATATAGAGTACCTGCACTATTTATCAATGAAAAAAATTAGTAAACCCCACTGATGCAGAGTAATGATTATTTACAATCATATATAAGATTTTGTATAACTATATAAGGTTAATAATTTGCTCTTGTTAAAATCTACCGTCTCTCCCTAAAATAAAATTGTAATTATAACTGGCGGTAGGTGCTGTGCTGTTTTAGCTCGGCGACTCATTCTAGAAGGGTTTGTCAAAAAGATAAATGGTATGGTCTATTTTTTGTTTTATTTATTTATTTATTTTTTTTTTGAAAATCATATAGGGCACAAGTAGTTATTTGTGAATGACAAAATATCTGGCCAAGAGCTCGAAGCTGAATTTAATCAAAAGTATTATTGATTTAAAAGTATTTGGTTTTGGAATCTTTTTGCTTCAACACATCCGGAAAATAATATATCATTTCAAATTACACGACTAACAATAAAATTAATGCGATCTTTGTCTTTTGTGATGTAACAAATTCCGATCATCTACGTCAGTTATTCAATACTGCATTCGGTGGTGTTGATGTAAATACTTCTTGTTATTAATTAATTACTTAATTTATTTAATTGGCAATTAATTAATTTTTTTTCTTTTTTTATTCTAAAAGATTGTATGCAATAATGCTGGGATTGCACAACCTGGTGAATTTATGACCAAACTGGTCAAGTAGATAGTAATTATATATATTATATTTTGAATGACCATTATTCGCGTATAAACCTTGACTTACATATTTATGAGATAGCTGGATAAAGACTATTTAAACATTGTAATAAAAAGTACGCAATTAGGAATTCAATTTTTGAAAAACTGTGGTGATGGTGTTATTATAAATACAGGTATGTAAACAACAATATTAAGATATCAAAAAAAAAAAAGAGAAAGCTGGATTTTATTTATTCAAATCAATGCCAATATATGCTTCTGCGAAATATGGTGTATGATAAAATTTTTAAAATTGCAAATTTACAATTAAAATTATGTTAGTCTTAATGATCTTTTCATTTAATATCAATTTCTAGGTCGTTGGTTTCACATAGTCACTACACGATCTAAATGATACTGATAAAATTCGCGTAAATGCTATTGCTCCTGGATCTGTGGATAAGTTAAAAAAACTATCGTTACTATTTACTCTATCTATTTGTCATCTGTTAATTATTAACCTTAATTCGATTAAATGAATAATTAGATACACATTTGCTGCAAGTACGATCAATTGATAAACTTGGATACGTTCCTATTGATGAAGTGATTAATGCTTTCAAGATGATGATACTATCATAAATCAAAAAAAAGTCATTCAAAAATTATTTCAAATTCATTCATAGGGCCGAGTGGTTAGCTTATACAAGTTGATTTTATTAATTTTAAAATCTACATCAAATATTTCTGTTCTTATTAGAAATTTATATAAACTAAATTTTTACATCTCGATATTTCACGAGGAATCAGCCGATTTTAGTGGTTTTTCGATTTTTGAAGAATTTTAAAGATTTCGGATAAAATATAGACGTTATTGATTGAAAATTATGAACAATAGGGAATTAAAATCTCAGAATTTTTTCCGCCATCATCACCGTGAAATCACAGGGCCACACTTTTTTGCAAAGCGTAATAATAAAAAATAATGAGCATACATATTAGACAGAATTTATTAATTTTTAATTTTTCGATTTAAAGCATCTAATCGTTTATCAAAATCAGTTATTTAAACATGTCTCAGGGTACTAATAAAAATTGTCTGTAACTATATTAAATAATTATAAAAAGTTACGGCAAATATGCCGTAACTTTTTATAATTATTTAATATAGTTACGCACGTTACGGCAAAGTTACGGCATGATTCACCGGCACCTCTAGTCACTAATCATAACATTAATTAACAGGTAAAATCATATGATGGCTTGGTTTTGCCATTCCTATTTCAGATGAAATACAGTCAGACCTCCTAAATATGAATCATAAAAATGCATTTAAAGGTTATAATATATAAATGTTATTAATGATTGGAACTGAGTTCATACACCTAGAGGCCTGGCTGCCACCTACGGATATGCCGTGTAAACCGCGTGCGATTTTAGGATGTTTATAGTATTTTGAAAATGAGTGATTCGAAGAGAAAGCTTGTAATTTGATTACAGCTGTTTTCATAAATTCTGGGACACCTAAAAATTTTCTCGTTTCCCGGAATCTTTTCGGTTTCGTCCGGTAAATTACCTAACTCTCCGGAAACTACATCGCTGTCTCCGGACTGAAGGTTCGAAATAGCGATGTAGTTTCCAGAGACCTAGGTAATTTACCGGATGAAACCAAAAAGATTCCGGGAAACGAGAAATTTTTAGGTGCCCAGAATTTATGAAAACAGCTGTAATGAGTTTTCGTCTTATCGGAAACACATGTGGGATGCCGTCAATAGATTGAAATTTTAAAAATATCAATAACTTTCACAGCTCACATCTTGGTGAATTTGAGGCTAATATAATTATAAAAAATAAAATATATAGCTTTATTGGCATATTTAAAATATGATACTTGTGATATAGTACTTATAAAATTATATTATAGTGCAATCTTAAAATTGGTGGAAATGATTAAATAATATGTAATTAACTTTGTCCATCTCTAGGTAGTTTTTGGCTCAAGGTTCTGACAAACAGAATCTCGGAAAAAAATCCAGAAACTCCTCTTAACATATTTAAAATCTAATAAATAAATATAATGATATACTAAAAAATAATGCACATAAAACATCAATCTTATACATTTCTTTTCTTAACGTGCGTCTGTATCAACATCCTGAATGCAAGTTTACTTAATTTAACCATCGATCAATTTAGTATTCTTCATCGTATTCTTCATCATCTTTCAGCTTTTTTATCTTTTAGGTTATACAATCATATACCTTATCTAATTTCAGTAATAGAATAGGTATTTTAGTATTTGTTAGTGTAATAAAATATAAGTAAGATAATACAATAATTACCTGGAATTACAGGGTTGTAACATCATCGGAAAAATTAAATAAGTGTAAATTTGCAAAAATCTGCAAAATTTTGTACAGAACTAACTGCAATAAAAAAAATTTCCTGAAGATATAATCCAGATGTTTCGGCATGTCAATTATTAATGTTTTAACAATTTCATCAGCATCTATATTTACATCTAAACTTTTCATGTGTTGATTTCATTTCTCCAGTTTATTAAAAATATCATCAGCAGTAGGTTGTTTATTTGGGTTAGAATCCATGCATTGTTTAGCAAATTTAACATAATAATTGGGAATCCCAATAGTAAAATCTGGTCACAAATTTTAAATGCAAGCTTGGTATCAAATGCATATCCATCAAAAGGCATTTGCCCTGTTGATATTTCTGATATTATTATTCCAAAGCTATAAATATCAGCAGTTTGTGTGTACGGTTCACCTTGCAAAACTTCTGGAGCGATATTTGGTATGACTCCTAAATACCAGCTTCCAAATTATCATTTCTTTCCTAGCGAATCCGAAATCCGAAATATAAACTTGCTTGCTTTTATCTAAAAGAATATTATCACTATGGGAGATCAGTATGGATATATCCTGCTTTATGAATTTTATATAATTCTTCTAAAATATTTGCAAGTAATATTAATTTCCGTATTTTGAGTTAATTCATAGACCTTGAGCCTAATACCCATAAACATACATCTTATGTGGTTTTCAAACTTATGTAAATAAATTGGTTAATAAATCTAATACATTATAAACAATAAAAAAAAAATGATTAAAATATTTAGTATTATATTGATAAAAATTGTTTAAAGTTAAAAAAAATAGGTATAGGTTCAAAGATATATAGTTTTCGTTTTGGATGACGGTAAGTTACTATTTTTAAGTTTTATTACACTAATAATCTACATTTTGCTATTTTACTATTGTACTGTATAAGTAGATCACATGAAATACCCACCCTTAATGATAACACGGACTTAGAGCTCGGATCCGGTGGATAACGGTTATCCGTTTAGTCTGTTTTTCGGATATCTGCAAATTTCAGATATCCGTTT